GTGCAACACGTTACACATAATACTATTGTGTTCACGCCGATGCAACTACTTTGAGCTCTCAATCCCTATTGCTTATTTAAGTAAACTCAGCCCATACAAATTGGGAACCGTTGGAGGCCAGGATTATAGTTCTAGAAACATACATAATTTAAGTCCTGGATCCATACAGGACTGAAAAATAAATTTCCTTCCAATCTCGGCTATTTCCGATCAAGATAAATTACGCGATTGTCTTTCATTTTGTTTTCTGTTGCTGTACGTGAGAAGGCGCCGAGGACGAAGAAGAAGACATGCGCAGTCGGGACGGTTCTCCCCGCCGCAGAGGCCCCGGTCTATCAAACGTCACGCGCGCCGGTGATACGGATGCGGCTTTAAGCGCAGAACAAGCGTCGACTGAGCAAGGAGATGAAGAAACTGGAGCTGTGAGTGACGTGGATGATAGCCATGAAGAACCGGGTGATTATGATGTAGTGAATGATGGCGAGGACGTGGATGTGGAGAATGAAGGCGAGGATGTAGATGTGGAGAACGATGACGAGGGCGCGGATGTGGATAATGATGCTGAGGAGGCGTCTCATGACGAAGTGAGTGAAGATGGTGAAGTTTCTGCTTCTGTGGATGCTCCTTCTACGTGGCATGCTGACTGGAATGCCTGGCAGGCATATTTTGCGCTGTACTGCAAGCAAACTATGCAAGTCCTGTCTGTAAAAGAAACCATGTCACGCTCAGAGAGAAACAGGCGGTTGCTAAAGACCAAGAAAGGGGAGAATTCGTCTCAGCTGGTTCCCGAGGAAGCTGATCCCTACCAGCGGACGTACATCTTTACACACGGGTGGAGGAAACGCAAGTCGCGCAGTGAAAGTAGCCGGCCTCGCCAGCACATCCGGTTGACAGATTGCCCCTTTCGCTTCGTCGTCCAATGGAATATGGCGAAAGGTGCGTTGATGGTGAAAAATGGCTGTTTCACACACAACCATCCTGTTTCACCAGCGGCATTTGCAACGTACTCTACGTCTCGAGGGCTTACCGACCCGATTGTGACCGCGCGTGTCGATGGGATGTTGGCGGTTGGTGCCAAAAGATCCCGCATTTATGATAACCTTCTGGAACATGACCAGAACGTAATTCAAGTCGACGTCGACAACCTAGTGCGGACTCACGCGTCCTCCGCCAGTAACGCGGACAGTAACGAGGGCACGGCTCTGGATATAGCAGCGTTCGCTGCTGCGGATCCCGAAAACGTATCTACGATATCTGAGACAGATGCTGGTGAAACAGGGGTGATTTCGCTAGCCACGGCTCATATGCGCCGCATTTACGGAAGGTTAAGCGAGGTCCTTTTGGTTGACTGCAGTCATAAGACCAACAGGTAGCTCATATTGTATATTATTGTATTGTACAGTATTAATCCTGTATTATACATGATTTTTCAATGATTTGTTTGTAGGTACAATTATCAACTTCTTACCTTTATGGGGATGAATGAATTTGGGGAGGGAGCTGTAGTGAAACAATCTCTGATTGAAGCCAACGGTGATTGGCACATGGAGAGAGCCATTGCTCACTTCAAGCGCTCTCATCCAACTCGCATTGAAAAGCTGAGGGTTATTGTCGTTGACAAGGATCTCAACGAAATCCGCGTTCTTGAAGAGCACTTCCCTGAGGCTCGAGTAATTATCTGCCATTTTCACGTAATCAAATACTTGAAGGAAAAGCGATCCAAGCCAGAGTATGGTAAGATTTCGTCGGAAGATTCTTCGAATATCGACGCTGCGATTCATAAGATGGTTTACGCGCAGTATGAAGAGCAGTACAAGGAAGCCAATGAATCGCTACGTGGAATTTGCGCTCGAACAGGAATGGGTGGATTCTATGACTACTTTCAAAAGAAGTGGGATGCTTCTCAAGAACGTTAGGTATCGTATTTACGCTCCAAACTTCCGAATTTCAAGAACCACACTAACAACCGTCTGGAGATCTTGTTCGGGAAGTTAAAGGATGCAGTGAACGGATCTATGAGCATGGTAATGTGCATCAAGGCCATTATAGCTTACGATCGCAGAGTGCAGAACGAGTACGAGTACCGGTTATCTCGAATTGGTCGCTTCGTGAACTGCAACTATGATGAGGAATGACGAATGTGCTCCGCTTCACTACGCACTACGTTGCCCAGCAAATTGAGCAGCAGTACGCGACGGCTGTTAAAAAAAACCGTTTTGTACAAATACAGTTACGATTCTGATGTTACCGGGGATATTCTAGTCAGTGGGAAGTTTTCTGAGCATCGATTGCGAATCTCTGACTGGAAATGTGACTGCGAGTTTTCTATTTTAATGCGTCCACCCTGTCGACATGCTATAGCTTACCGGAAGCACGTTGGCGTGTCTGGATCGGTCATTCCTTGGGGATGCATTGACGAAAGGTAAGTGTCATGAATTCTCATGATTATAATACTGGATACTAATCCTGTACTCATGAACGCTTAATTGTACGTTCAGATGTACAACCCCAAATCGCCCGCTAAAGCCGGTTAAGCAGTTTGTATACGAGAAGTTCTCGTGTACCGGCTCAGGATCGACTCGAAAGAAGATGCGGACGCAGTCTGATCGGTACCGCGAAGCCGTGAGAGCTACTCATCTCATTGCAAGTGAAATGACGGATATTCAAGACGAAGAAGAGTTTGATGAAATGCTGAGCTTTGAGTTATCGCAGTGGAGAAACGTTCGTCAACGAAGGATGAAAGAGGTTACGGACGGTGGAAATGTAGCAGATGACCACACATCTGGAGACGAAGAAAAGGCAAATGAAGCTGCTGCTAGGCTCGAACTCGATATCAGCTCGAGCGAAAATGAAGATGATCAACAGGCCTACAATCAAGTTACCATCCGCTTGAATCCTAAAGCAAAGAAGGTCGGAGCACCGCGGAAACTGAAGAAGAAAACTGTCTCTGGAGAGAAAGAAGGACGGAAGTGGTTTGGGGCAGCAGAATCAGGTCTAAAAATCGCAGGGGAAGAGTCTTTAATCGATTTATTGAACTCTTTAGATCGGGACAAGCCAGGACTCATGGAAACGCAGAAGCGTCTATCAGGAGTGATTGTGAGGCACAGTGAGTTCGACAGCAAGAAGCCCGAGATGAAGATAAGCAAGAATCCTGTACTCGTCCAGGATCCGTTTTACCTCCTCCCGTCCAAGATTCTAGATGCATGTGTGAAAGTTCTGCCGCTGTCGAACACGAAAGCCACTGATATATCGCTGGATGGATCGCAACCTTATCAGACGCAAAGCGTTGAAGATAAGGGTACCCCGCAGTCTGTCGAAACGGTTCTCATAAAGGATGTGGGTCAGTTCTCAAGAAAACAGATTGAGACCTTCAAGCGTGTCCGTAATCTGAAGGAGCTCGTTGAATTGGGGCTGGAAACGTACGAATGGATGATGCAGATTGGAATCCCTGCTCTACCAGCCGAACATAACGCTCTAGCAAAGGAGATAGCAGAAAAGGTGTAGAGCACGTACCCTTTACAACAGATCCAAGGACTCCCAGGTGTCGCTGACTTCCAGTATTGTATGCTCTATCGCATTACACCACCATCATGGCTCTCAGATGCCTCCATCCGAGCATTGTGTCTGCGTCTCTGCCAAGATTACCCAGCGTGTCGTTTCGCCGGTTTTCAGTCTGCTGTCCCGAAAACGAAACGAACGCGAAGTGCAGAGAAGAATATTTTGATCGATGCTGTCCGTGATTGGGTCCTGAAGCACGCCGAAGATGAAGGCGTGGAGTCGGTGCTCGTTCCTTTGAACTTTGGTAACCTACATTGGTGTTGTGTTGTGGTCAAAGTGGCTGCTAAGAGGATTTTCTACATGACCCGCTTAATCAAGCGTCGTATATGAACGCGTCAAAGATGTTGCCGTCAGTTTGAAGATCGCAGGCCTCAATGACTTTGACGTCATTCCAATGAACAACCCCATCCAGTTCGACGGCTTCAGCTGCGGAGTCTTTGTTTGCTGGATGCTCATCCGCCAAATAACCTGTGTGCCCCCACAGGATATAAGCGACGCTTCGCTTCCAAGGCGCCAGTTCGAACTGTTGTGTTACCTGCTTACAGGTCAACTACTTCCAGCGGAGGCTGCTGCAACTGCTTTGCCGGAGGAAATAGCTCCTGTTCCAGGGAGTGTGGACAATGATATGGACGAAGAAGAGGTGACCCCAACCCATGTTGCTGAGAAGTGAGTGTCCTATGGTGGCTTTTAGTCTAACATTCAGTACACGCAGCGTTGCCGTAAGATTTGTGTTGAAATGCCATAAGTCTTCAAAACAGGATTTTTACATGGACTAAAACAAGTTTAATCCTGACAAATGGGGTAATTATTGCATGACAATACTTCCACATGATTAAATCATGGCTAGAACCAGGATTAATCCTGCAAGGTTGACAGCCACACGTTACAAATCTTTCCGCGTCCTCAACGAATCTTCTCAAACCTGCCGCGTCCTCGACGAATCTTTCACTTAATTAAATGCGATTTTACATACAGGATTAATGCTGACCTAAATCATGCATGTTTCCATATTATAACCCTGGCCTCCAACAGCCGCCATACAAATTTCTAGTCAGCCAAAATGACCCATCGTAGTCATATACACGTGCTGTCCTCAAAATTTCGTATCAGGTTTTTCATTTGAGCAATATCAAGTTTACTCCACAGTAACCTCTGGGAACGGACTCGGTGGACCTGAGGTATCTCATACGACATATCAGGTTTCCCCAGGTTCATTTAAGACAGGTTTTACTGTACTCCGCTGATAGACCGTTTAAGACAAAGATATACATGTATCATCTTTCAATAATATACATGTATCATCTTTCAATAATATACATGTATGGCGCATTGGGATTTCCGGAAGAAAACTTGAAGAAAAGAGTATTAAAGCATTTAAACCCAGAAACATTCGCTATCAACCCTTAAACTCTTCTGGAATTTTTCTCCCTCCACTTTAGATTATGACGAGTCAAGAAAATAAGGTGCTGCTAGACTGCGTTCTCGTTGGCGAAGGGAGCGTGATCCCTATCGTCATTGAAGAGAGGAATACGGTGGTGGATTTCCTGAAGGACGCGATCAAGCAGAAGAATCCGAGCACGATCCAGTATGACGCTAAGGACCTGCAGCTCTTCCTGGCGAAGACAGCGGGTGACAAGTGGCTCGTTTTCGACTCGGACGATGTGGAGAAGCTGAAGAAGGGCGGTATGACTGCTACCGTTAAGGTTTTAACAAGCGAAGAGAAGGAGCTACAGAGGGAATCTGACGTGTTGACAGGTATGCCTAAGCCGTTAGCTAATCAAGTTCATCTGTTGGTCGTGGCTTCGAAGACAAGGAAAGTAGGAGCCCCACACAGTTTTCCAAACAAACGATCCCGTTTAAATGATTTGGGAATGGATTTTGGTTTCGAGATTGATGAGATCGTGAAGGTACCTTGGATCCAAATCGACAAGGTGGAGTATGTCACGCTACCAGCTGCGCTCATGGAATTTTTACATCAAATGAGGGGCAACTTCAACTTCATTAGTAGAGCGCTTAATCGCTAACCCATCAGCTCGACTAGAGCAGGGGGCGAGGAGAGGCGGGTCTTCGCTGGATGTCTTGCTGTAGGAGCTAAATCTCGAGTGAATAATGACAGGCGAGGATGACTGGCGAGTAGAGCTCCGGTAGATTGAGCAAATTGAAGTGGAAAACACAATTTCTCCCGCACGCCTTACAGGCTTTGCGGTCGAAACATACCTTTCCACAACAAATGAGGGGCAACTTCAACTTCATTAGTCAAACGCTTAATCGCTAGACCATCAGCTCGACTAGAGCAGGGGAGCTGCGCCCCCAATTTGATGGTCGTGCTTTCTGCGTTCACTAACGGAGGGTTGAGTCGCCCTTCGGGCCCTTTACCATCTTGAACGCTAGCTTGGACACCGATTCACTACAGAGGTGTGTGTAGAACTTGAATGCATCGGACTTCCATCGGCCATGAAACTGGATGGTCATGGCGTCCGTTCCAGCTCGGTACATGTGCGTTGCGCCACCAGATCGAAGAGAGTGCGAGCTGTGGGAGCTAGCATCTTCGCCAATTCTTGATGCCGCCTTTTTGATTGTGTTCGACACATCGGCCGTAGACGCGCAGGCGGGTAAACCCAAGCTGTCAAGGAACACGGCAGCCGGGGTGTTTGCCGGGAGATCCCCTCGCGCTCGTAAAAGTAGCATTGCTCCAAGCACTGGGCAGACGTATTCGTGGCCGGAACGTTCAAGCATCCGCGTGGTTAGTGGACCGTTCTGGTTGGTTTTGGATCCTCGTAGCCGAATCGTGACGGAATGCGCTTCTGCTGGGTTACTTGTGTCGATACCGTGGATGTCTGCTACCGAAATATCGTTGGCTCGGAGCGTGAACCATTTGAAGGTAGTTCGTGTAATCGCTGCAATCTCGGATCTCCTCAGTAAGAAGAAGAAGGATACACACAGGACCCCCCATAGAGCTTGAGCCGCAGCGTCGTCGAGCTGTAACGATTCAAAGCATGCCTCCAGAAGATGAATTGAAACGGGGGCCTTACGCTGACGGGGAGGGTCGATGCGGCGGATGCCTTTGAGCAGCATGCTGATATGTGGGTGGCCGATTGGAAAGTCATGACCTTCGGCCATGAAGAAGTGCTTAATCCCATGAAGGGTGGAGAGGATGGTGGAGCTCTGAATCGGTTTTCCAGACCCATAACCATGCTGGAATCCGTCAACCACGAAAATAGAGATGATGCGTACTTGTTCGTTGACGTGCAGGTGCGTGAGTCGGGGATGGATACCTCGTCGAGCGGTCCAATTGGTCCATTTCGTCATGGCAGCGGCGTACTTGAAGAACGTGGAGTCGCAACGGAGTGAGCTCGGAGATACGTAGCCAAAGCTTGGTCAGATCCTCGGAAGTAATGGTTGGTGATATCTGCGACCATCCACGAGTAAGAAACGAAAACTTGTTAGCAAACGAAATATGAGCGCCGAGCCGTGATACAGCATCAGCGCGAGCATTTTCGGCGCCTGGGATATGAGAGGCCGAGAAGCGGAGACGGTAAGTAGTTTCCCACCAACCCAGCAAGCGAATGTTAACCTGTGCCCGTGGGCTACGGGATGCCAGCTTGGTTTGCCATGCCACCGCGGACGTGTTGTCGATCCGGAAATGGATGTGCAGCGGCCGGGACATCGTGGCTGTTTGCTGGGCCCAGCGCTCCCCCCACGCATGAACGGCGAAAGCACACGAGAGGAGCTCGCGGAAGTTGATATCGAAGCCATTGCCGCCCGACGACTTGAACTCAGACACTAGGTGCGCCTCGGCGGGGCTGAATTGATACGTGAGGGCGGAAAGGGAGGTTATATCCAGCGCACAGAGACCAAAATCGGATGCATTCGTTTCAACGGTGATGTCAGAGCAGGGTAAGGCGTGGAAATACTCCATGGCAACGCCGTTCAAACGGGGGGAGTGTAGTATGAGCCACCACCACTTGAGATCAGACTTCATTTCTGCCGAGATGGATACCGATTGGAAACGATGGAGCCGGGCCTCACGGACGCGTAGCCGTTGGAGAAAAGGTCTGGCTGGCCGGATGCACGTTGCCACATGACGGAGGCTGCCAAGGAGGGAGCGATACGACTGCCGAGAGAGTTGCGCCGAGTGAAAAGCCGAGGCCACAAGCCGACGCGCTTTAGCAAGTTTGGAATCTGGCATTGATACGATTCTGGCGGCGCAGTCAAATTTCAGTCCGAGGACCTTTTGGCTGCTGGACCAGTTGGTGAACTTGTCTTCGTTAACAGCGGTCGCGCCTTAAATTGCTGTCATTGCGTAGCGCAGCGATCGCTCAGCGTGGCTGCAATTGGAGGCGACGTCTGCGGCGACGTTAACGTGGTCATCGACCCAGTGGTAGTTAAAGAAACCCGTCGGGTTGGCTTCGTTTGTGTGTGCACCATGTACATACGAAATTGCTCCACCCACAATTTCGTAGGAACCAGGAGACCCGGTCCATCCAAACGGGGCACAGAGCTCGATTATCAGCGCGTCCTCCTCGTCGACGACGCCAGCAAACCATTGTACGCTGTCGCTGTGCAGACTGATATTTCGAAAGGCGTAAGCGACGTCGCCGGCCATAATCATCACCTCGTGACTGGGATGGCTCTCAGCCACGCGGAGGAATTCTTTAGCGACAGCATCACAGTGGGTGTACTCCGGTGTTGGTATGGCGGCTGCATCGGTATGGTCGTTAATCGAGGCTCCCTCAGGAAATGAAAGGTCGTGAATGGTCCGACCAGTTGAGGCCGGGTCGCCACCGGACTTATCCACAACGCCAAACGGGCTAGCGACGATCTCCGGCCAGAGATCGAGAATATCCTTGTCGAGAACCAGGCACCGCCATGCACCTTGTTCCTTGCGGATGTTTTTCCGTAGGACGTTGATCCTTTCACGAGCAGGTCCATGGTTTGTAGGGCGAACTACCGGGCGCGTAAATGAATCTCGGATGTGAACACGGACGCCTTCTGCCACAATCTGTTGAAGTCGCTGTAGCTGCGGATAACCGGCACACGCTTTCTCAATTATATCCGGGCTCATGTGCTTGTTCGGGCGGTAGTCTTCCGTGGTTTGACCTCGAATCATTTCGACAAATTCAGGCAGCGTCGGCCTTGTTTGGTGGGCAAATCGGGACAATGTCTTCTGAAGTGGTCGATTTAGAAGATACACGGCACCGTCGTTGGACGCGCCGGTGAGGGGATATGCCTTGGTCGGGAGCTGCAGGCCGACCGCGCGCAGGCGGGCAGAGATCGTGGTGATACAAGTCCATTCAATCAGCTGCTGTCGTTCGTGTGCAATACTCTTCATCCGCTGCGTTTTGGCTCTCGTGATGACCGGCTGGAGAATTCGTTGACTCCTCCCTTTCGGAAGAGGGCTGGCCTTGGAGCTAAGCTTTCCGTCTGACTGTTGGGCATTTTATTAAGATGCATTGGACGAGCAGAGCTTGTGCCACCCGAGGGTCTTCTACAAGCAACGTTGCTGAAGGGGGGCTGTATAGCCGGAGACTGTATGGTCAATTGGTGCTGTCTAGCGCGGAATGGCTATATAGCCACAGGTAGCTGTATAGCTGAAAGTTGCAGGCCGGTCGACAACGAACGCAAGGCTGCTGTGGGATCTGCCTGCTTGGTGCCCGTCGTCCTGGCTGGAACTAAGCCAGTACATGATGAGGGTCGACTTGACTGAGCAGTTGGACCGGAGGAAGTCTACCGGTCAGATGTGTGGGTGCTCGGTACCAACGCAGCAGCAGAAAGTAATGTATTTGTCTGCTTAACTGGGGTTCCTTTCCGAAAGGGACTCGAGCTGTCGACCTCTCGGCACCATCAGCGGCGATGGTTGATAGAGCGCGCGCCGTAGGTCTCGTTGACCCACTCTTGAACAGGGGCAGGGATACCGTCCTGCCAGTTGTGGGCGCGGCGAGGGTTTCCGCAGCGGTCGCGCGCTCCTCCGGAGCATGGTAGACCAGCGAGGTTGCGTAAGCAGGGCTCTTGTCCGCGACGATTGACGGGAAGCATGCGTCGGATGTCTTCCGGCACCGCCGGGCCTCTAGCTTGGTCGCGCGAATTGCGTCGGTCGGCGTCGGCGCGACGCTGTGGCAGCTGCGGCTCTGTTTGGGTCAGAGTGCTCACCAGAGCCAGTGTCCACTCGCTGGAATGGTAGTCAATGGCCCGAAGGGCCTCACAGTAGCCGTGCCACCACTGAGGGGAGTCCGATTGCAGATGCCCAATGGCATTGCCCAGGAACTTATTCGCGTAGCGTAGAGTCATCACCACTCGCTGCGGCATATTGCCTGGGTCCGCCGATTTGTTTTTGGAGACAAAGACTCGAAGGCGCGAAGTGATCTTGCGTACGTGATCGTACTAAAATTCGTTTCCGAAGCTGGCCAGGCCGTGGATTCCGTCGAGAATATCATCGTACGAGGCGCAAGTAGTCGTCGCTGGTGTCAATTGAGCTGAAGAGCTTAAGTCGCTACCAAAGTTGCCGTTGTTCGAACCAATCACAAGAGATTCCATTTCTGATATCTCCCTGAAATGCAAGAGGGTGAGACCACGGGAGCCCAGGCGACCGCTAAATAATGCCATGAGCATAGCCGGCTTGATCAGGAGCTTGATACACTCCGCTTCTCTAATCCACAGGACGAAAGACATAGCAGATAGGGGCTTACCTTCTTGAGAGAGGAGATTCTTGAACATCCGACCGCCGGCAAGCAGGTGCGCTTGTGGCGGGTTGTATTCTTCTTTGGCCTTCTTGGGTCCTTCTGGGAAGCTGGTGCATGAGAGGTAGCACACGGCCCTTGGTGGTAACTCGCCCCGAGCGTTAGGGGCGGTTCCGACCGAGCTGGCCGGCAGCACGCATTGCGAAGTACTCTGAGAGTCCAGCATGCGGAGCAACCGAGCATTCTCCTCCCTCAGTGCAGCCATTGCAGCGGATTCACCTCCCGAAAGCGCGACGGTGGGTGCAGCGGCTGCACGCGCAACGGCGGCTGAGGAGCCGCTTGATCCATAAGCACTCATGAACTCTTCGAGATTGAACATACTCCTGGACGACGGTGCCGCATTCGGACGCGCCAGAACCGTGGTCGGGAGGAGCGATGACCGGCCGGCCTGGCTGTCTTCAGCCGTGGAGTTAGGACTTGCTGCAGCCGTTGGGTCCACCGCAGCCTTGCGTGGCGCTGACACTGCCACTTGCTCGACCGCTGACAATTCTTTCTGCGTGGCCGTCGCCGCCGGCGGTAATCTGGCCTCCGTCATCGGTGTCGACACAGGCGTCGGAGCCTTCTCCTTGAGGTCCGAGTCGTCGATCGTCGGAGCCGTGGTGCGTGCCGACTTTCGCTGAGGGGCTGTGACGGCACCAGACTTTGCGCTGCGCTTCGTGGGCTTTTTGATTGCCTTCTGGGGCGTTGGAGCGGACGGCGTCTTCGCCTTGGCCGCATGCTTACGTGCCCGGAGTGGAGGAGGGTTCGCCGTTGACCGGGCAGACGATGCGGTCCATGGCTCGTCTCCACCTGTCACGTCGACGACTTGAGCCATTTCGCTATTCGCGGTCGTCGCGGCCGTTGCCGTTGCCTGGGGCGTAGATGGTGCGCTGGTCGCAGAGTTGCTGTTCTCCTGATTGGTTTTCATGGTGGAGTAGGAAAACCCCTCTTCGCTGGATGTCTTGCTGTAGGAGCTAATTCTCGAGTGAATAATGACAGGCGAGGATGACTGGCGAGTGGAGCTCCGGTAGATTGAGCAAATTGAAGTGGAAAACACAATTTTTCTTACAGGCTTTGCGGTCGAAACATACCAAAGTGCGGTTTTGTTACAATGAAGCTGTATTGCCGCCCCCAAATGTACGAACTACGGAATTTCTTACGGGATAAAATGATTGCAAATAACGCACCTGGTCGCATTGTGGGGCCTCCTGGCACAGGCAAGTCTGCGTGCACGCTGTGTTCTGCGGCGTCACTGAATCCCAATGATTAGAACGTCGTTTAGATTCATTTGAGTCGCGAATGGAACACGTGTCTGGTCACCGGAACCGGGCAATATTGGCGCTTCGCTTTGTCACATTTTAAGCTGCCTCGCGTCAAAAGCAAGCGACTCTTCCTCTGTGTTGATGGATACAAAGCACTCGAGAAGCACGAAGATTTCTTGCAGCTCTTATACGCACTGTTCAATCAAGAAGACAGATTTGTGGTTTGCTCCTCCATGACGACGCTAAGCAAGAGGAACGTCGCTGATGATGCTTTTAGAAAGCTAAAGGTGCTTTGTATGCATTTCTAGACGCGATACGAGTACCTTGCAGCCACTACCGACCAAGGTTTTTATAATTCGATTCTGCCAAAGCTAGATGCCACGGGTGTCACTGACGTGAATGAAGAAGTATGCGAAGAATTGAGCGAGAGCGACAAGAAGGAACACTCTCTTCGTTTGAAGTTCTACCATGCTGGTGGCTCGTGCCGGTTCAAGTTTCAAGCTCACACGTGGCAAGTGATCGACATTTTGAATCGCGGGATTGATTCCGTCAGAGCTGCTGGTCAGATACTGCGGCGGTGTGTATCATCCCGATGAGGTAAACATGCTTTATGGGATGAAAGAAGTCGGTCTGAGCGATGTACAATTCCCCGTAAGCTCCTATGCGGGCTCTCTGTTCGCGGACCAATGTGGAGAGAATGTCATTGCGGATTTGGCGGGTCGTCTCAACGCGTCCGACAATCCTTCTGTGGATATCTTTTTGAGTGGGTTTTTTTTGCAGCTGTCCCCAGGCGCGCAGTGGTTTAATTTTGCGACAACCACGAGTCGGATGTCTTGACCTAAGCGGAAGTTCTTCGCTTTAATCCCAAGAAACGACTCAAAGTTTCACCAGATGGAACAATCCGAGGTAACGAAAGCTGGCTGCAGCCCGTGGCCTAGAACCAAGGCGGCTATGATGCGGTGTACTTTGACCAGTTGGAGGAAAAGGTCGTCTTTATCCGGGTGGCGCGATCCGACGAGCATGATCAAAATGTACCTTAACGAAGTGCTACTTAGGCTGCGCGCAGCACACATGACAATCACGAATGTGGACATCTTTTTTGTGGGTATGGCGTCTCGGCTTCTCGAATTTAAGTTCGGCCGGATCGAGGATCGTCACCTCTTAAAGAACTTCGATAAGCGCTGGGAAAAACAACCAGAAGGAAGGGGCGTGAAAGTACGCGCGCTCGAAAAAAAAATTGCGCTCCACATGTAGCTCAGTTCCTGAATCGTGTCTTTGGAAGCATGTTCGAAAAAGTTTATTTTTGATTAACGTTGAGATCAGCAATCCAAGGGTAGTGCTTCCTGCAATCTTTAAATTATCTGAACATGTTGACGGACGAGAGAGCGGTGGCGTACGCTTTGGGCCCATTCTCCCACTTGACACTGAAGAGCAGAGCCGACTCGCACGAGCTACCAAGTCCCGCCACACTTAGATACGCAGGCTCCCAATAGAAGATACCGGCGCCCAACCCACCGGGCAGACTCTCTAGCACGTCGATGGTGGCAGCAACCCACTCACTTTGGCCCTTGGCACTCAACGGGTAGGAGGCACTCAGTTTGACCTTTGAGCATTCTGTCGGCCAGTCGGTCTCTGCGATGTAGATCGGCTTCTTGTACGTGTTAGCGAGCTGCGTTAGTGAGGACTTCAGAGCGTCGATTGTGGCCGCCGTGTTGTAGTACGGGTAGAACGAGAAGCCGAACACGTCCACGTCGCCCGTAGTGACCTTACCGTCGGCGAACAGGCTCTTGAAGAACCACGACATCGTCTCGTACTTCCAGCCGTTGTCAAGATGGATCATCACCTTTGGTTTTGTTGTTCCAGCCTTGACAGCGTCAGTCACACCTTGACGCGCCGCCTTCCACAGGGTTCCAAAGTTACCAAAACCGTCTTTTACCTGGCCTGTTGGAAAGAGGAACCCATTGGTGATTTCGTTACCTAGTGAAAGGATCTCAAGTTTGACACCCCCGACAGTGAAAGACTTTAAGGTCGACGTTACGTATGCTTGCAGATCAGCAGCCAAAGCCGTGACCGACGAGTCGTCCCATGATGAAGGGACAGCCTGCTTCGTTGGGTCTGCCCAAGTATCGGAGAAGTGCATGTCCAGAAAGATTTTATAGCCCGCTTTCGAGAAACGCTGAGCTAGTGCCAGGGTATAGTCCAGATCATATTCGCCGCCCGTCCAAAGGCGGAGACGCACTGTGTCCATGCCACCAGCGCCAAGGATGGACTCGATAGACGTCGTGCTACCAGAGGTGGAGATCCAGTTGGCGCCTTGGCTGGTCTCCATAAGACTGACCGAGGACAGATCGTGGCCCTTGGTTAGAGCTGCCGCGGTGTCTAGCATGCTAGAAGCACAGACCCCAGCGAGGAGAAGCGCCGTCTGAATGAACATGCTGCTTGCCGTTTGGAGACTGGTTAGAACGAGTGGGAAGCGAAGAATGAGCCTCCTTGGATGTCAGCCTTTACTTACGGTCAAGAATGTACATGTATAATCCGTTGCGATATTCTTCATGATCTGCGAGATCCAGCGGTCGACATCACGGCAATGTGGCAAAGCCCAAAGTCGAAGGCAATTTAGTTTTGATTTGATTTGTTGTGGTCTAGATTAGCATGAATTTGTGTCGCAAAAACACATGAGTATCATCGGCTCCATTCGGAAAAATGAGGCGTACTACATGGTACATCATCGCTCGCTCTGAGGGTGTCTAGGGGTACTCTAGATGCTCTTATATGCGAAGGAAGAGCGGATAATGTGACATAAAGAATACACTCCGGCGTGCAGGCATGCAAGAATCACCCTCTGTCTCTTAATCCTGTAAGGCAAGGCCTGAGGCCTGTTCTGAAGTACGATGAGAATAAAGGCAAACAAAATCGATGAGAAAAAGCGAGCAACATACGATTTATTAGGAACCTGGCAAGCTCTGTCTCTGATGCGCATTTTCCACTAGCCGTAGATAATATCAAGCTCACGATGGCAACCACCAGAGCGAGAAGTGCGACTACATTTGCGGTAATCCATTTCCACAACCTGAACCAAATCGAATCCTGCATCATTACAAGATGATACACTCTTTCTACAGACATTCACACAAACACTCGTTTGAGATCCGCCAAGTGCTTCGTTTAAACTCTACGCACCTTAAACTTCGGTTGAATTGGATGTTCGTAAAGGTAGTCCGCTTCCACGTAATTTCGAGGTCTTGGGACTGGCAGCATTTGCGAGACGGTTGTACGTTCGTTGCTTCCGCCTTGAAAACCAGCAAAGATGCCTTGAAAATGACGATGTTGTTCATAGACTTTCTGCATCACGTCGGCGAATCTCGAAGAAATTGGCATCGTGACAGGATATTTCGCACCGTTGATGTCACGAACCCAGACATCGACTTCGCGATTGTCCATCGGGGCAGAGGCGTGACGTGGAGGGTTCTGCTCAGTCGCGGCTTGCACCTGAACTCATTTCCTTTCTTGTGATTCTCGCTTCCAGGGGAGAGTTTCAACCAATCACAGAATGTGAATGCCACAAATTCTATACCCTCCTCAAATCGATGATGGCATCGGCATCATTTATACCGAAATCACCGTTTTCCGATACCCCTGTTTAGTAACCAAATGAGTAGTCACTTCTGAACGGAGCCGGTATAACAACAAGCAATAAAAACCGGTATTCGCAAAAAAACGGTCAAGAGATCTCTAGATATTGAAATCGAATGAGTCACCATGAGTCACCATGAGTCACCACCTTCCGCTCAATGATAGCCCACTACAGTAACTCTAGATATAAGAGTCACCATGAGTCACCGAGTCACCACTTTTTGCAACTTCCTCCCACTCACTACTATATCAAGTATGTCCTCTATCATACTATACCTTATTATTATTATATTTTTTGAATATTGATAAAAAGAGAAGACTCAGGTGACTCAGTAAAATAGAGATCCTTCTACAATGACTTAGAGAATGAATAGACATCAAAATGAACTGCGTTCGCGTCCGCTAGCAGTTCTCCCCCAATCCAAGAATGCCGAAGAAAGGTACAGCGAATGACAACGCCGACGCGCAACACCAGCAGATCGCGAAGCCGTATGAAGGAAATGCGACCAAACTTTCAAGCAACATCAAATGTGATGTGTCCGTTATGGATCTCCTGACTCCTGCCACGATTGAGTTGGCCAACTACGTCGTCAAACGTTTGAAAGAAGAAGATCCTGGTGTTTTTGTGCAGATTATCGACCAAAACGCACTGCATCAAGCACTGGCCGTCAACCACTCACCTGTACCGCAAGGTGCCGATGCTGATGCATCAGCTGAAGCATTTCGTGCATGGCTCATAAACGGAGCTCGGAATGTCCGCCCCAACAGTCAAGTTCCCCGAAATTCGCATTTTTCGTTGGCGTTCCATCAACTAACTCAAGGCGAGGCCATTGATATCGTGTTTGGACAGTGGCAACAGCAAAAATGGAACGTTTTAATCCGAGCGAATCGCCGTGGAGTAAATCCGATTGGAGAGTTTGCGATTGTGTTTTGGATGGCTGGAACAGGACTTCAACGAGCCACTTTTACTACCCACCAAAACGTTTTTGGCTGATGCAGTATGATGAGTTCATTCCTATGAAGGAAGAAGTAGAAGTCGAGCGATTCTTGGATCATTATAAGACCAATCAATGCATTTTTGAAGTGAGATTCTCACTTCACAACAAAGAAATTCCAGTAGATAGGAGCGACGACAAAACTTCCCCCGTCCGCTCATCGTCCGCTCTTCCTTCGCACGTAAAGGCATCGAGAGTACCCCTAGACACCCTTAGAGACAGCGATGATGTACACCATGTACGGTACAGCTAATAGGACTGCTGGGCTATCAGAGTTGATTGCGGCGTCACGATTGTCACTGTCACCGCGTAAGCCGCGCGAGGAGCTGGACCAGGAAACTCCACCGCTTACATGGAAGCAAACATATTGACGGACGAAAACGCCGTAGCGTAGGTCGTAGGCCAGTTGCTCCAATTGACATCGAAAAGAAGGGCCGATTGACCAGACTTGCAACCGACAAGTACGCAGGTTCCCAGTAGAAAATACCCGCACCCAAGCCATTTGGCAGACCTTCCAGCACGTCCTTAATAGCTGTCACCCACTGCGTTTCCCCTCTGCACTGACCGGGTAGTCGGCGCTCAGCGTGACATTCTCACACGCCACAGGCCAGTTCGTCTCCGCCACATAGAGTGGCTTGTTATAGTCCTTTGCAAGTTGCGTTAGCGACGAGTCAAGTGCTTGGATAGTTGCCTCCACGCCGTAGAATGGGTAGAACGAGAAGCCGAACACATCCACGTCGTCGGGCGTCACGGTGCCGTTGGCGAAAAGTCCCGTAAAGAAGTCCGACACGTACGTGTAGTTCCATCCGTTGTCCACGTGGATCATGATCTCTGGTTTCTTGGTTCCAGTGGCGACAGCATCCGTCACACCTTGGCGTGCTGCCTTCCATAGAGTCGCGAAGTCGTTGGAGTTACCGGTAGTTAGCTTCCCCGTTGGCCACAGGAAGCCGATGGTGATTTCGTTACCAAGCGATAGGATATCGAGATCGATGCCGCCGTCTGTGAAGGCCTGTAATGTTGACGTCACGTACGCTTGCAGGTCGGCGGCCAACGTGGCAACCGACGAATTGTCCCACGCTGCAGGGATGTTTTGATGATGCGGATCCGCCCACGTATCGGAGAAATGCATGTCGAGGTAGATCTTAAATCCTGCCTTAGAGAATCGATGAGCCAGAGCCAGCGTATAGTTGAGATCGTACTCGCCATCCGTCCAGATACTGTACAAACAGAGCCGATAGGGTCAGGACGGCTATTATATAGGGTCAGAATGGCTGGGTATTAAACGAAACGTACCGAAGTCGGACAGCGTCCATGCCCCCTTCTGTGAAAATACTTTCGATGGTGGTTGTGTTGCCGTCGGTGTTGATCCATTGGGCTCCATGAATCGTCTCCATTAGAACAGTCGAAGACAAGTCGTGGCCATTGATGAGTGCCGCAACAGAGGTGTCCAGTACACTTGCAAGGCAGGCACTGGCGAAGAGGAATGCAGTGCGGAGGAACATCCTTGTCCCGAGCCTTGAATGGGTTGTGAACGACAACTGAAAATGAAGAATGAATGAAGATACCAAAGGTGCTTGGAAATGAGGAATGTGGGCTCCTGTTGATGAATCATGAATGTCAGCCTATAGCGAGAGAAATGCAGCGTGCTGCAAGCGTGTCTGAGTCAGCAAAGACCACCACTCTTGGCCAGATGTGTTGCTTGAAGTTGAGTACATCAACACACAACCAGTGATTACGTGCTCGCACATACCATCAACTTGATCAAGATATTGCGGTGTTCGAAATTCGAGCGCATTTCTCATCCAACAACCAAGTCTGCTTGGTTGAAGTGCTCGCGGTAGTCAAACAAGACTGCAAAGCGCCATAGCACATTGGATGCAGTCAGTCTGACCAATTAAAACAAGCACAGCTTTCTCAAACTTCAAATTGATGTAACAACGATCTTTGAGGCTACTCAAAGATCGTTGTTCCAGCAATTTGTCTGGCTTCAAGCTGCAGTATTCCGTATCAGCCAATACTGCCGCAGGTTACGAGTTTGAAGAAAGGAACCATTGACAACGACAATATGAAGCTCAAGCTTGGACTGTATTGACACGTGTTGCTCCGGGCAAGCCAGCCGTAAATTCTTACGCGTACATGTAGACGGACGAGAGCGCCGTGGCGTACGTCGTCGGCCAATTGGCCCAATTGACGCTGAAAAGCAGAGCTGATTCACACGAGCTGCCAAGCCCAGCAACCTTCAAGTACGCTGGTTCCCAGTAGAAAATACCAGCCCCCAAACCGTTCGGTAGGCCATTCAGTACACTCATAATAGCAGCAACCCACTGGCGTTGACCCGAGGCATTCGCCGGGTAGGAAGCGCTCAGCGTGACCTTCGTGCATTGCGTCGGCCAGTCGGTCTCCGCGATGTAGATAGGCTTCTTATACGTGTTCGCGATCTGCGTCAGAGACGACGTGAGCGCCGAAATCGTAGCCCCCGTGCCGTAGAACGGGTAGTACGAGAAGCCAAAGACGTCAACGTCGCTAGTAGTCACGATGCCCGTCGCGAAAAGGCCCTTGAAGAAGGCCGAGACGGAGCTGTACCTCCAGCCATTGTCGATGTGAATCATAACCTTGGGCTTCTTTGTACCGGCCGCAGCAGCAGCCGTCACGCCCTGACGCGCAGCTTTCCATAGCGTAGCAAACTCGCTGTAGTCACCATTGGAGACCCTACCCGATGGCCAGAGCATCCCGTACGTGACTTCGTTGCCCAGGGACAAGATGTCGATATTGACACCAGCACTTGTGAAGGTCCTCAACGTTGAGGTCACGTAAGCCTTGACGGCAGTCGACAGTGTGGTGATCGACGTGCTGTCCCACCCTTTGGGAGTGCCTTGCTTGGTAGGGTCGGCCCAAGTGTCGGAGAAGTGCATGTCCAGGTAGATCTTGTATCCGGCTTTGGAGAAGCGCTTGGCCATCGACAGAGTGTACGTCAAGTTGTAGTCGCCTGACGTCCATAGACTGTAAAATGGAATAGTCAGAGGCTTGTTTTGCGGGCTAGAGGTGAAGAAATGAACTTACCGAAGTCGAACGGAATCCATACCGCCACTGCCGAGAATGGACTCGATCGTCGTCGTCTTGCCGGCTGTGGAGATCCACTTGGCTCCTTCTGAAGCTTCCATGATACCGACAGAGGACAAATCGTGGCCCTTGGTCAGTGCTGCAGTCGAGGTGATGGCACTGGCGATGCAGACTCCGACGAAAAGAAGGTCTTTGAAAAACATGATGTTTGGCTGTACCCCGACTTGTGTTCGAGACTGGAAAATGAAGAATAACCCATGAGCTCTTCAATGCGTCCTACGGCTACAAGAGTAGACTGCTGTTCCTCTCAAAGTCTGGCTTCAACCTTGACGAGCATTCAGCTACAGAAGTGCAGCAGCCTAAGCGCTACTCTACCTTCCTCGAGAAGAAAAACACGTAGGATGAAGAGTTGTTTGCCTTATCCGATCATGTTGAAGCAACCCGTTCCTCAATACACAACTATTTCGTTGAATAGTTGAAGTTGAAGACACCAAAAGAGTGATCACGAATGCTACAGTTGTGATTGTGTCCGATGAAGTAACGTTCGACAAAATCACAACTGTATGAAGTTCATCGGATCAAAAAACCTAACGGTTGGGTAGCTACAGTCCAGTCCCAGACCCTTTTGCAGTGGCGTCAAGCTGGTACGTTCACCATTGTCCCTTAACACCCCGTCGCAGTGGAAAGCTGTAACGAGTTGCACGGCGACTTCACCGATGGAGTGCAAGAGCCCTCTAAAGATGCGATGGACTACAGTCGAAGCTACGATGTTGACGGAGGAATGGGCCGGTGTTTGCGCCTCGCCAGACTACAAGGTCCTGACGGGTGAAGACGTATCTCAGGTCGTCTTTGAACGATACAACTCGCGGTGCGCTCGAACGCGGCAGCTCCGACGGTCCCCACAGGCGGTTGCCGTTCAGCGCGATCGAATGGCCCGGTTTGCTCAGTTCGTGGCCGATTTCGACCGTACGGAGCTGCCACACGGACGTCGTGCCTGGTTTGATCTCTCCTCTGAGGAACAACTCCAGTTTGATATCCCGAACGAGTGGCGACGACAGTTGGCGACATTCACTCTCGACATGTTGGACACGTTCAAGCGCTACATCCTACCTGCAGAGAATGCCCACTTTGTAGCCAAACGCAAGACAGCGAAAAAGCGGTCGATGAAACACAAGAAAGCGAGCTCTCGGGTGAGTTCCAAGCGCCGAGAGTTGGTCGTCTGCGTCGAGCATCAACCGTGTTGGCAGACGGAAGAGGAGATAGCTCTGATACTACGGTGGGGGAAATTTATGAAGCACAAAGGACTGACACTGGCTGAATTTGAAATAATGGCATTCGACAAGTCGCACAAATGTCTGGCTATGTCATCGCACTCGTCCTTCTCTGCATGGCGCAAGCTTCGCACTTTACTGAGTTCGTGGCGCTTTATCCACGACTTTAATGCAAAGCATCAGCCGGGGTGGTTCGAGCTCACGGAAGCCGAGAGAGATTTACTTATCGCGTGGGGAGAACTACCTGACAACTTTGAAGACATTGAGCGAGATGTTTTTATCGCGATGGAAGGTGTCTCACCAAAGGGCGCATACCACATAAAAGAAGAGCGGGCGACACCCGTTCAACCACCTGGACCTCCATCTCCGAAGGCTATTTCTCCTCTCCAGTCAGCAGCTCCAGGACCAATACCGTTGTTGACGGATTTGTGTCCGAAAGGTTTTAAGACCGACGACAACATTGAGCAATTTCTACTTGACGAGGACGTCGCTGATGGGTTGGCTACGAGAAACGAGTTGCGACCAGACGACTGTGTAATTGAGCCTCTAGGTGGCAGAAGCTTTGTTCCAGATACCTGCATCCTGATCACAGAGGCGAGTCATGGTTTGACAGAAGTTCCGGCTGTAAAACAGGAAGTTACAGATGCTCAACCACTCGAGCCTGCGCCGATCAACTCTGTTGCAGGAGCCGTTAAACTGCTGGAGACGAGGGGCAAGGTGCACGCAGATATCCACCAGCTTCGAGTTGCTCTAGAAGAGAAAAACAAGCGCACGCTGGAGTATTTTGAGGCGTTGAGCGCCGAACAATTCGCGAATGCCAACGGTGCTGGGTTGTTGAACTATGTGAAATTGATGCTGGAGCAGCAAAACAAGCGACTGCTATCTGTGCTTCATCTGGCGGATGATATTGGCTGTCAAAATGAAGCTGAAATTGCATCCTTCATGCAGAATTGGCTAGGAAATTCACCTTACAATGGCGACGCCGGGCGTGGCGTTGTGGCCCACGTTAGTGCTCAGAGAAGGATGACTGGAAGTAACAGTGATGTTTGCTCTGCGCAAACCTAAGTAAGTTTTCAATCTAGCTTTTGCTGACTGTGACGCATCGAATTTCCAACCGGAATCCACAAGAAAAAACGAAGCTTGCTATCTGCTTGCCGGCCGCGATATTCTACAGCGCCATCTTAATTAAAGTAGCGAACATTTGTACTCATTTTAATAATATACACTTTGACTTACTATAATTGCTAAGTTCTTATTTTAAATAGAACTTACTTTTTTGCAAAGATCTACAGCTCCAACGGAAGCTAGTTTCAAAGCTCTACTTACGTATCAGCACGGTTGTTTTTAAGAACAAATTTCCCGCCAATGTTGCCAATACCTGACCATCTAAACTATCACTTTATGGAGGTTTTGTTTTCGCTTTGACGTCAAAGAACTAAATACTAGAAAAGCGCAAAAACGGAGCTTAATCTTGGTATGTAACTAAAAGCAATTGAATCCATTTTCGTGTCAATTACAGTCGTGCACCTCCAATTCGGCGGGGCGGACCATATCAACAGTACCAGGGCATAAGTGCACAACATAAAGCAAAAAACAAAAGCAAATCCAGTGCACTGATATTTTATATGTTAATTCAGTACCAAATGTACGCCAATCTTCTGCAAAATCTTGGCGTCAGACGCGCGAATCGCGGGCGCGCAAGAGCGCTTCCGGTGGCGATAGGCGTCCGGCAAGGCGGCAGCTTCCGCGGACCGCTTAAGAATACTCTGGACGGTATGCGCTTTACTGCTTGGGGCCCCCAAGTTGGGGGGTCTTAAAGCGCTCCGTTGCCCAACGAGCAAGTTCGAAGCGAGAGCATGCAGGATCTGACTTGTGCTTCTCGCACAAAGACTGTTTTTGTGTGACATGTAGGAGGAAGGGCGATGTCCCATTGTATTTGGCGGTAAAAATCAAAGTGTGTGTTTGTATGAAGACGTCCGATCCAAAATTTTAAAATCAGATCGATGCGGCGTGTTGTAAAGGGTATTGCCCTTCAAGGTCACAAGTTCTGGCAAGCTGCTCCACGCAGTCGCATGGCAGCTCGATCGCAATTACTCCAGTAGTTTCGCAACTCCTGTAGCTTCATCTCACAGGTTTCATTTCTAGGCACTAGGCAGTAGCATCTCGTGCCTGCTACTCTCACTCTGCCAACTAAAGGCATTCTATATAATTCAGTCATTCATTTTCCTGCAACTACGCAAGCCGATCAAGACTCACTCGTCTTCCAGTAAAACCCATAACAATTTCAAAATTATACCTGAGGTTATACTTGAGTCGAATTCAAGTTTCCAGTTCAAGTTTCTAGTCTCCAGTCTGGGCTTTCAACAACTTGTGAAAGTCTCGACGTACTGTTCTACTTCGTTTAAGTACGAAAAGAGAGCGTATGAAAACACCCCGTCCCGTTGAAGACGAATCTCCCAATCTGCGCCCCGTCAGCAAACTCGCCTAGACGACGAGTCTAACATGGCTGAGACGCCCAACGTTAACAATGCTGGGGCCCAGACCCAAGAGGCAAACGGTGATGCCGCAGCAGGCCCAGGTCCGTCCTCGGTCCCGCCTACCGCTACCGCCAACAACGCGACTCATGCTGGATCAGCAGCCGCTGGCCCTGATGTGACTGCCCAACTCATGCAAATGCTCATCGCACAGCAACAGACGATGCAGGCTCAGCAGCAGCAGGCTATACAGGCCCAACAAGAGCAATTCCATGCTTTCATGCAACAGCAAGCGCTATTCCAGCGCGAAATGTACGAGAGCCAAGCGCGTGCAAACACCCAGAAGCAAAAGGCGGACCCGCCTAAGTTCAACGGCAAGTCGTCCGAGGACCTGGAGCTTTGGCTCTTTCACATTGAGGAGCATTTCAGCGCGTATGCTGCAGAGCGTGGTGCCCCTGATTCTAGGTTCGTCGACATGGTCGTCCCGTTTCTGGGAACTGAAGCCATGTCGTGGTACCGTGAGTTTAAGACGACCCTTGGGGTGTCACCTCGCGTCTGGGCTGTCTTTAAACAGCAAATTCGTTTACGATTTCGCGACAGCGATTTTGACTACAAGCTGTTGTCTAAGCTCTACAATCTTCGCGTCTCGGGAACGCAGCAAGATTACACGTCAAAATTTATGCTACTTTTGTCCCAATTGACGATTGACATGCCTGAAATTGTCAAAAGGTGGTTCTATCAGCAAGATCTTCGATCCGATACAAGCTGTCATATATCTCAGAACATCCCTACCACACTACACGATGCCATCATGCACGCACAACGTTTTGAAGACGCCCGTGGTACCCGTCGCGGTGATCTGAAAGATCTGCCTTCAACAAATGACAAGAAACAGGGCAAATCCGGGTCGGAATTTACCTCCCGAGGCGCAACCAGCAAGACAAAGGCAAAGGCGCCTATTGTGTGCCTTTACTGTCACCAGCCTGGCCACATTGCACCAGCGTGTCCCGAGCGTGGGAACACCGGGGTGCCAAAAAATTAGCTAGCTCGGCGGGCTGGCGCCCCGCCGAGCACGACTCCGACAGTGGCGACCATACACTGTTCGTGAGCTCAGCTACACCGTCCTTCAGTCCAACTGTTTGTGTGACGACACCGGCTCTTTATGTTTACAGTCGCGACAATCCCACATACAGTAGACCTAAGCACGGAATTTATGGTTTTCTGGAACAGCCAGCCGTCATTCGGTCCAAGGCTGTTTCTACTTTTATCGACTGTGGTGCTTCATTTAACACGGTCACGCCTCAGCTCGTCGAGAAACTCGGGCTACGCGTAGCGAACTACATCACACCTGTCTCC